TGAGCAGGTGAAGAAGAGAAGCCCCCCCCCTTTAAAAAGCCAGGAATATACATTTAGTTTTTCAGTTTCAGCAAACCATTTAATGAACCATTTTATTAATTTTAAGGTGTTCTGCACAATCAGTTTGCAAGATCCTCTGAGCCTCATAACAAAAACGGCTTGAGAGAAACAGGAAAATAAAGACTGAAAGGATATTTTAGAAATGGGAGTACGAGATATTAAAATGGAAACCTTTGCACTTTAAAAGTGTAACCTTTGCTTGAGGTAAGAAGAGCTTAAATTCCTAATGGAATGAGGCTAATCTGGTACAAGCAGAAAATCGGATTTTTATCCAGTTTATTGAGGACATTTTAATGTTTTTCCTTATCAATTTGAAATTTCGCAGGCATGAAAAATCCACAGGCAGAGAAATTTTAATCAATACAACCAGAATCTACAGGTATCTTTTTATGTAATTGAAAGCTAACTGCTTTGTATCACAACTATGGTTACTATTAGCTGCCTCTGATGTCTTTTGCAACGGAAAGGTGGGAGTAAAAAAATATGTTATGTATGTATTTTATTTTAATTTTATTTATTTATTTATTTACTTACTTACTTACTTACTTACTTATTTATTTATTATGCTTATATCCTGCTCTTCCCTTCAAAAGAGCCCAGGGTGGCAAACAATAAGCGATAAAACAATAAAAACTTATTGCAAAGAGTTGCAATACAGATGCAAAATGGGATAAAGATCTCAACTTAAAAGGATTGTTGAAAGAGGAAGCTGGGAAGGCAACAGAGAGGGTGCCTGTCTAATATTCATGGGGAAGGAATTGAAGAGAGTTGGGCCACTACAGCAAAGGCTTGATTCCTACATTGCGCAGAATGGACCTCCCAATAAAATGGTGCCTGCAGAGTGCTGTGATCAACTGGGTCTATAAGGGGTGAGGTGATATTTCTAGTATTATTCCTATTCCTATTATTTTATTACTTTGCAAGGCTTCTTGGCAGTAAGCAAGAAGAACCTTCAAAATCTCCCAGGAAAATGCAAAACCAAGCAGTGAGTACAATGATATAAACCAGAACTACGCCTTTTTAAAAAGGCTTTTAACGTGAGCAAATATACCTAACTGATGCTTCATATACAATGTCTGAACATCATCTGAGGCAGTTTTGCGGAAGGCGGGAGAGAACACCTAAGATCCTATTAAGGTAAATGACGAAAATGACATTCTCACTTTTTAATGCAACGTCGCCACCATCTGGACAAACAGATCCTAGCACCAAATATTTTCAAACCGTTCCCCTGAACGTATGGTGTGCATGTCTCAAGATCTGCCAGTAATATGTCTTTTCTGCTCCTCAATGCGCTTAGGAACCATGTGTGACCATGCCCAAAACAATGGACCAAAAGGACATTTCCTTCGCAGGAGAAGCAACCACTTTTGAAAAGGGAAAGGTTCTATAGTTATTAAAAAACCTTCTGGAGTTTAGCAAGTGGCAAATGAATCTGAGTGCAGAGGGATCCTATTCACAAGTGATACCCACTGGCCAGGATATGATCACCTGTAAAGCCCTTTGAATCACCAGCATACACATGACCACTGATGATCTATGGTGGAGTAACTATGCCTGGGGAAACACTCATGTCCATTTAAAGACACCCCACTTAAGTGGGAAAATGTGGTGTACTGCTCTTTATGAGGACCTGAGTGCAGCTACGGGCAGCCCAGCCACTTCCAGAGAAAGGAAGCCCCCTGCTGCCACTCACCCCCCCTTTCTGACCACAGGAGTGGAGCTGGCATGGGCTGGAGCTGGGATTTCCCCCTCCTGCCCCTGTATAGTGTAGACCTAACTTTTATACTTTTATACATACTAGGAAAGCAAAATAAAGATAAAATGTGCAACTCGCTTTATTGGTGTATTAGCTTTCTTGCAGGGGTCTGGAACCGAACCTGTTATATCTCTAAGGTATGCCTGTATATACAGTTATTATTATTTCAAGATTATCTGCTTGGGGCTAGAAAACCTGCCAAGTTTAGCTAACACAATGTTGGATTTTATCTACAAGGTATTTATCAAAAGAATGAACAACATCTGATAAAAAAAAGGCAAAGAAGCAACATCTGAAAAAAGGAGCTGCTCTCCTTCCCTTTGGGCAATCCAGCCTTTCATCTCATTCTGCATTTTGCACTGTGCAAAAAAAAGGGTGGGGTGGGGGGGAGAGAAAGAAGCCCTTATTTCATCTGCGGTTAGTGAAATCGTTTACTCCCTCTCTCTCCTCCCGCTAGTGCTTCCTAGGACTCAGTGAAACTGGCTGGTCCCTTGAATTACCTGGCCTACGGCTGCATCCCCACCTTCCCTGGCCACTGGATTGCTTTGGTGGAATCAGGCAGCGAGAGCTGCCACACCTTCTTCTCTCAGTGTTGCGGAGAGTTCGTTTTGGAGGAATATATGGTGCTGGGGAGCCTTATAGAGCAGAGCAGGTGGGTGGCATTTGTGCTGGAGGAAAGAGATCTATCTTGTGACTCTATTCAGAAATACAGCCTGCGCACTGGTGAGAGGGAACAGAAGGATCAAACTCAACCTTACAGATTCCTCTGGCATACTGCAACCCGAGGTATATGGGGGCAGTCTCTTTTAGAAAGGAAGACCAAAAAAAAAGCCCTCCCATGCAAACAAGGAGCTCTGCAACTCATATTTCAAAAAGCAACAAGATTTTGCTTCGGGGGTTCTTACAACGGCGCCAGGTACATCTATATAGCATGCCTGAGGAACGCGATGTTCAAAGAGGATCAGAAAGAGTACAAGGCTCCTACGTGACTCCTTTTGTATTGCAGTAGTTCTCCCGCCCATTGCCTTTTTTTTTTGCTAGGCTCTTAGAAGATCTGTGCATGGAAACTGAAAAACCACAGGGACAAAATTTTTGCAACGGGCACAGCATGTCCCACTTATGACAGTGCAAGAGAGAGAAATGATTTCTGGGGAGGGCGGAAAGGCAGAGACCCGAGTAATATGTCACAGAAATATGGAGTGGGTGATCTCGATGACAACTGGGGAACGTTCATTTGGGCAGCCAGCACACAGTTCTTTCCCCTTGGACTTTACCAGGGAAGCGTGGCTTTACATTACGCCGAGAGTGTGTGGCAAGCCAGCACTTCTTGGGGTTTTCCGACAGAGGGCTCCCCTGAGCTATACAACGAAAAGGCTGAGCAAAATTCCAAACAAGGTATATTCAGCAGACACTAACTTTGTTACAGCTTTACGGGTGCAGATGTGCAAATGACATGATTACTGCTGGGAGATACAGCTATCTGGACTAACAAACTAGCCTTACAAGCAAAGCAACTATTAAATGAGAGTCTTAACACACAAACACAGAAGTTAGTATTCTGAGAAGCAACTTGGAAATGTAAGGAGAACTGGAAATCTTTTGCATGCAGCTGAGTTAGACTTCGAAGCTGCATCAGTAGAGAAAGGAGACTTCATAGAAGTGAGGGCTGGCTCTGCAGCCAGGTGAAAACATCTGGCTGGTGGGGTGGGGTGGGGAGGAAGGGTAGATGAAACCAGCAACTAATGTCTGAATGGTGCAGTTAGGTGTTTTTTTTAAGTGTTGGCCCGTGTGTGTGCATGTGCGAGGGCATCTGATGCTCTGCTTCAGTCAGCAAATCGTCTTGGGGCCAACAGTGATGGAAGTCAACATGCAATTCAACCCCAAACAAACAGACTAGAGATCAGAAACCAAACCTGGACTCATGCTCATTTGATTTAAGAAAATGTGGCAAGCACATCCTCCAATCACTACTGAGATCTGGACCAAAAATGAATCAATCCTCTAGCTAGAAATTTCCAAGCATCCACTGCAAATCCACATATGAATAAAATCCATCTTCTGCCAGCCTTCTGCCCAAAGAAAATGGCCCAATAACTAACAATTACACTGCTACTTTATTTTAAATTATTGGCTTTGGGTTTAAATACTAAACAGTTCCAAAACTGGGGGTTTATTGTGTTTTTGTTGTGTAAGCCATCTTGGCTGTGAGTCCTGGAAGACCTGCTCCCTGCCTTGCAGGATTTTACCCACCTGGTCTGGGAGGACAGAGCCCCGGACTGACTCCAGCTACAAAAACTGAGGCTGCAGAAGAAGCCAGAGACCCTCCTGGCTGTCTCCTATCGTAGACCCAGGTCATCAAGCCTGAGCTTCCATAGCCACCGCCTACCATGAACAACCATTGGCAGGATTGGCAGCAACAGCAGCAGATACATTCTATTATTAGGATAATATCTTACTCTCTTCTTAATTATGCTGTGTTAAATGTGCATTTTACATTTGTCTTCCTTTAGTAATGTCTTCTTTCGAAATGTTTAATGTTTGTTAACTTTGCTGCGTCAAATGTGCACTCTGTAGTTGACATGTCTCAAAAAGTTTTATTTTGAAACCTTTAAGATAATATTTTAGTCTCCTGTTAATTATGTTGCTTTGAAAGTATACTTTATACCTGACTTTCTTCGGTGATGTTTTATTCTGGATTATTTTATTTGATGTTCTAACGTAGACAGTAAACCGCTTTGAGATTATTATTATTTTTGAAAATACAAAGTGGCATGAATAATAATAAATAACTACCTGGCTACAGGTGGGGGTGGGGGCAGACAGAAGAAAGTAAAATGAATACAAAGGAGGTTGAATACTAAGAGAGTCTCTGCCCCACCCCTAAGCTTGTAGATTGCTGAGGATCCAGGTTCTTTACCAATTTGGCTTAAGAAATAATTAAGATGACCTCACCACCCCAATTTCTTTCTTTGTTCTTGTATGTTATTGTAGTGTATGTCCTTTATTAAATAAAAAATAAAAAAGAAGTAGAAGGAAAAATAATTAGGTACCTGGACTCTTTGGTGCCAGGACAGGCATTCTTCTTCTTCTTCTTCTTCTTCTTCTTCTTCTTCTTATTCTTATTATTATTATTATTAAGCATGGTAGACATAGTTCTATCACAGAGGAATCTTTTACTCACCACAAGTCTCCATCTTCAATGGTTTTCTCATTTGGAGCGCCAGCATGTCCGTAGTGCAGAACAGAGCTATTATGCCCACTGAAACAGCAAAAATAATGACATATATATGAATCAATAGTCTTATATACAGAGAAAGGAAACATAATCCAGTGTATGGGGGAGAAAATCTGCACATGTTAATAAGCAAGCATTTCTGCATATAGAGTAGCTCAGTCTTCCCCGTCCTGTTCTGGCTGGAGCAGAAGGGAGACGTTTGGTTTGATGCTGGCTCAACTTACACTACCATGCCTTCAGGGCCGGATTTAGGTTTGATGGGGCCCTAAGCTACTAATGGGGCCCTTTATATGTCCAGCTGTCCTTTGTCATCAACAAATTGCAGCTGTTTTTTGTGTTGAATATATGCTATATGGCAGGGGTCAGCAAACTTTTTCAGCAGGGGGCCAGTCCACTGTCCCTCAGACCATGTGGGGGACCAGACTATATTTTGGAGGGGGGGGGAAATGAACCAACTCCTATGCCCCACAAATAACCCAGAGATGCATTTTAAATAAAAGCACACATTCTACTCATGTAAAAACACGCTGATTCCGGGACTGTCCTCGGGCCGGATTTGGAAGTCAATTGGGCCGCATCCGGCCCCTGGGCCTTAATTTGCCTACCCATGCTATATGGTAATTTATGGACCTAATAGGTATCTAAAGCCATTTTATTGGTTTTATCTTATATTTTGGAAATGTGCATTCAGTTTCCCCCCCAAGAGAGTGGGGCCCTAAGCTATAGCTTGTTTAGCTTATACGTAAATCCGGCACTGACTGCCTTACACCAGTTTCTTATGCATAGGCCTGCTGCCTGGGTGCTCTTTTCTTGCTTTGAAAATGGGGTTAAATTTGAGGTGAAGGGGGAGGGGAAATGAAAAACAGAACCGCCTAAGAAATGAGAGAGAGAGAGAGAGTGTGTTTCCTGCTGTGTTGGGAATTCTCTTTGCAGCACAAAGTGTCATCACAGCAGTAGTACAAGTCAAATACATTGTCATATTTGGTCTCTTTACCTTTTTTGTGGAGCACACAAAAAGGCTAGCTTTGACCAAAGGAGTCAGAAAAGTACTTTTGTTCTTACAACCCGTGCAAAAGTGCTGAATCAGACGGAAGGCAGGAAGAGGGACATGGGTGTTTGCCCCTCACTTCTGAAGGTTCCTGTGATCCACTCAGTGACCTAGTTTTGGTTCCGGCTCTTTTTACTCCGTCTATTGATATTCCTTGAGGTCCAAACGTTAAGTTAAAAGGAAGGAACATAACTCACTCGGCTCTGCAGATTTCCTTGTTGCTATTCTCAGCTATAAGCTCTCTGTCCTTTTAAAGAAATGCTCAGATAATGAAAAAAGGCTCATTCAAAGCCCCAAACGTCACACCTCAAGATCTCTCACAGTGCCCATCTGGCCTCTCAACCTCAGCCGTTAGGTCACATCAAACCTTTTGAACCTAGAATCCAATTTGCTACTCGGTTCAAGAAGAAAACTTCAGCAATTTGGACAAAACCCAGAGGGGTGGCTCTATTCCGGCAGACCGTGCGGCATGAAGGTTTTGTGGGCCAGATTCAACTTCACCAGCTGATTTGAAGGAGTGGGCGCTGGCTCTTGAAAGCTCACGACAAAATGCGTCTGCTACTTCAAAGTGATTAGATTGTGTGCAAAATGAGAGAATGAGCCACGAAAGATGTGGGGTTGAGAAAACATTGCATCACCCCCCTTCCAACTTTCAGGCATAGATTTATATGAAGATGTTAGCTCTGGGTACTTATCACAGACTAAAACAGCCAGAAACAATACTTAGTTTGCATATGCTGAAAAAAGAGAAGTTGCAATTTGGAGGGGTAAGAGATGAGTCCTCTACAGTCATTCAAAAGAATTTGTGGGCTCAAACTGTGCACCCACCCCAACACCCCCATGCATGGGCTTTTAATTGAAAGCTTTGTTGTACAGGCTGCTGGAGTTTTTAAAAAGTATTTTAAAATTTGCTGTTTGATTAATTTAATTGTTTTACACACACACACACACACACACACGCACACACACACACATATGCCCTTTTAAGGAATGGCACCCTGGTTGCAAACATTCTCCCTTTCTGAGATCCGGCTGGAGTCTACTTTGTCTGTCTTTCCTCTTCCACCAGACCTTTGGAATCAATTGTCCCCTGCGCCTACTCTCTCGGCTTCCATTTGTGGAAGAACCAGAGAAAGTAGGATTCTTTCCAATGGCTTTAATATTCAGATTGGTGCGATATGTATGCAAATAGCTGGCCCGAAGAACAGCAGGCAATGCACACAGTTAATCCAAGGATACACAGAGGCAGGTGATCCAATTACTCAAAGCTTGGACAACTGACCCAACACTGACACACCCCTTGTAATCCTATATAAATGAATGGGGTGGGCTCAGCTTTGTGAACCCAGCAGTTGTGACCTGCCTTGAGACCACTGGTGAGGAGGGGCAGGATATAAATCTGAGAAAGAAAATAAATGAAATGGCATTTGGTTCAATGTGCTGTTTTATGCTCATACATGTACGTTGTGTGTCACCTTGACATCTTTTTGATGGAGAGAGGTAGAAACGTATTTTAAATAAAGCATGCTAACAAATATACACTAGTAAGGCCGAACAGAAACAACAGTCTGAACTAGAGGCATAGACTGAATTATTTTCTTTTTGTGTGTGAGAGAGTCCTGCTCATCTCTTTTAGAACTCATTTAAAGTACTGCATCTGACCTTTAGCATCTACTTATTGGGTTTTAAAATGCATCTTATTTATTAAAAAGGATAATAATTACTTCTTACTGAATACGATATGATCAGGACTTTCCCTAGGCTTAGGATAGTGTACCGATATGGCAAATTTACAAATAATTAAATCATTTAGAAGGGACGCTGGTGGCGCTGTGGGTTAAACCACAGAGCCTAGGACTTGCCAATCAGAAGGTCGGCGGTTCGAATCCCCACGATGGGGTGAGCTCCCGTTGTTCGGTCCCAGCTCCTGCCAACCTAGCAGTTCGTAAGCACATCAAAGTGCAAGTGGATAAATAGGTACCGCTATGGTGGGAAGGTAAATGGCGTTTCCGTGTGCTGCTCTGGTTCACAGGAAGCGGCTGGCCACATGACCCGGGAGCCTCGGCCAATAAAGCGAGATGAGCGCCACAACCCCAGAGTCGGCCAAGAGTGGACCTAATGGTCAGGGACCCCTTTACCTTTACCTTAAATAATTTAGAAAGTACACAAAACAAAGCTTGAGAGTCACAGGAAACACAGGAAACTGCCTTATATTGAGTCAGCATCAAGCTCAGTACTGTCTACCCTGATCAGAAGGAATTTCCCACAGTTTAAGGCTGGGGCGTCTTTCCTGAAGAAGCCTGGGATTGGACCTTTTCATGCCAAGCAGGTGAGTGATACAGGACTTGGTTGCAGGAGAACCAGGAAGCTCGTCTGGAGATCCTGGACGCATCCCTCTCTCTTAGGGAGTTTTTGCAATCAACACAGCGAATGTAATTCTCTCGCTAATATGCCTGATTTGATCTTTTGAATAATTTTGTTGTGGTGGGTCTAATGCAAAAACAAAAAAAACAACCCAAAAATAATTAATGCAAATCACATCTCTACCTATCTGGATTTATAATTTGAAATGAGCCGACACACTCACGTTCCTGAGCTGGTATGAGTTATTACTTAGTATGAAAGTTCAGGGCTCTCCTCTTGCCGGAGAGACCTCTCACAAATTAAAGTGAGATGGGAGGGGGGATGAGGAGAGTGAAAAATATTCTTTGGTGAAAGATCACAAAGCGGGGGCCAGTGATGTTACCTTGGAGATGCATGGAATTCAAAAAGAATGCCTTGCTCGTGAAAGCAACCTCAGTTTTGCAGAAGCAAGCAAGGTAGAAGCAAGACTAAGGTAAGAAATAATTGTAGCCCACCCTGTGTTCTTGTTACAGGGAGGGAGAAACATCTAAGTAGCAAAATAAATTAAGTATGTTAGCAATTACCGTATTTTTTGCTCTATAAGACTCACTTTTTCCCTCCTAAAAAGTAAGGGGAAATGTGTGTGCATCTTACGGAGCGAATGCAAGCTGCGCGGCTATCCCAGAAGCCAGAACAGCAAGAGGGATTGCTGCTTTTACTGCACAGCGATCCCTCTTGCTGTTCTGGCTTCTGAGATTTAGAATATTTTGTTTGTTTGTTTTCCTCCTCCAAAAACTAGGTGCGTCTTGTGGTCTGGTGCGTCTTATAGAGCGAAAAATACGGTAAATCATGAGCAAGACTAAACCTTAAGGGCATAATAATTGCATTGCTGGTTAAGACCCTAATGCTTGGCCAGGCCATCTCTCTGAATCCAACTGTGGCACACTGGTTTGGTTCAAACATAACACAGGCCAAGCCATGGTTTGTTTGGTAGAAGTGTGGTTTGTTTGAATGTCCAAAGCCAATCCAGGAGACTAACCAGCGTTTCTTTTCTGGAAACAAAAACTGGTGTGAAGTACTTGTCCAGGCATAGGCAAACTTGGCCCTCCAGATGTTTTAGGACTACAACTCCCACTATCCCTGACCACTGGTCCTGTTAGCTAGGGATGATGGGAGTTGTAGTCCCAAACATCTGGAGGGCCGAGTTTGCCTATGCCTGTTCTTGACTTACAAACTATGGATTGAAGATGCTTTGGTGCTATTGCTTGCTTAACCACGGTCTGTGCATCCCCAGACACTTATCAGGCTACAGGGACAACACAAGAACAGCTGGGAAACAAACCAAGCTCAGGAGGAACAAGCACCATGGTTTGTTTTGCTTGTATGCGAGATGATGTGCAGCTTGTTTGACAAACCCTGGCTGTGTAGTGCTTTATTGTGTTTTTATATATGTTGTAACCCGCCCAGAGTGCCTGGAGCAACCCAGTTAGATGGGTGGGGTACAAATAATAAAATAATAATAATAATTCAGACAAAATGCTGATCTTCATCTTGTGTGAAGATCAATCTTTCTTTCATATACATCTATATCTATGTATATCTATATACAGTGCTTTTTTCTAAAAAAAATGTTTATGGGTACTCTCATTCTGACCCCAGAAAATCACCATTTCATAGTTCAAATCAGGAAAAATAAATATAGTAAATGGACCAAAATATAAAGATTCACAAAATGTTTAGGGGTATGCCTACCCCTGCATCCCCCCAGAAAAAAAGCACTGTCTGTCTCTCTCTCTGTCTCGATCGCAGGAGTCAGCAGTGGATCAGCCTCACCCTGGCAAACCCATTTCATGATCATGGTATATATGAGCAAATTAATTTTATTGCCCCATGTGAGGATCAAACTAATTCTATTTATTATTGCGTTTACATCCCACTTTTTCTCCAAGAAACTCACGGTGCTGGACATTATTGTCTCCCTCTCTGTTTTTATCCTCACCATCACCCTCTGAGGGATCTTAGGCTAAGAAGGAGTGACTGGCTGAAGGTGAGCTTCATGGCTGTGTGGGGATTTGAACCCTGGTCTCCTGAGTCATAGTCCAACACTCTAACCACTACCCCACACTAGTTTTCTAATGACCTCTGGGTTATAATACTGATGTGCTGCTTGCTGCACTAATGCTCATGCTTTTTGCCCTGGTGTGAACATCACTTAGACAATTACTAATCAAGGATTAGGAAATGAAGAGAAAATTAAAAATGTCAGTTTGCATTACAAGCAGATTTCCAGGGGGAGAGTGGTGTAAATGGAATGGACGGCTGGCGATCCCGCCTGGCTGCATACAAAGCAGGGCTGTAATGCAGTTCAGCGAGAATTTTAATTGCACAATTATCACAATATCAAATATTTTCGAACTGATTACATCAACGCGAAAAGGAAAAAATAAATTATCTTTGTTTTTACTCAACTGTCCTTTGGGCACTCTGTGCTCTCTCCCCCCCATGCACGATTTTCTTGACGGTTAAAAAGGTATGGAATTCTAAAGGCAATTGCAAAAACCTCAGATGCAAAAGGGCAATTTTGTAAAGATCTATAGCTAGAGATGCACAGTCTCGCAAACAGAGAGCCTGAGGATAAGGCCTGCACTCCAAAGATGGACAGCCAGGTGGTGGTGGTGTTACCTGTGTTACCTGTAGTCCTCCAAGTGAATGTTAAACTACAATTGTTGGACTAAAGACCTAAAAGAACTCTGGACCAATGACATGAAAGCCTGACTTTCCCTCCACTGCCTGGGATTAAGACCAACAAATGAAACCCAGATAGTCTTACTACAAAGTGATGATTATTGGCTTGTGGTCTATAGAAATGCTCTCTCTATCAGCTCTCCGTCCATTTGGTAGCGGGGAGACCTGGAGTGTGTGTTTCTGGCACTCGGGCAAACAGGACAGATTAGGGATTCTGCTGGTTTACTGCCTGCCTCACAGTCTCCCTGCCTGAGCTGGTCTTGTGAGGTGGTGTTGAGGACTCCCAGGTTGCTGGTTATGGGGAATTCAACATCCCTACCTAGGTGACTGGTTCTGGGTTGGCTCAGGACTTCTTGGCTGCCATGACAACCATGGGGCTGTCCCAATAGGTCATCACTGGACCTTGTTTTCTCAACTGGGCAGGAAGAGGGTGCTCTGAACGAGGGGGATATTGTCGTGGTCAGATTGCTTCCTGTTGAGATTTAGGCTTTCAGCACCTTTCCTCCTCGGCAGAGGTGGAGCACCTATTAGCATGGTCTCCCCTGAAAGGCTGATGGCTTCAATGAGTTTCCAGGAGACTCTGGGAGATTCTCTGGCTGATATGACCAGTGCTCCTGTCAAAGCCTGGCCGACCTCTGGAACATTTGAATGGCTCGGGTCATTGATACGATCACCCTAGAGTGCCCACTCCCCCTTTGTGGAGCCCACTTGACTCCCTGATATATTCCTCAAATGTAATAACTTGGCTTATTTTAGCACCAGCAAATCCAATGTGAGCTGGGTGGAGTGGGGAGAACCTGCCCGTCACTTATCTACACTAAGAGGATGCTTTTTATATATATAATAAGTTAATCAATTAATCCCAGATTAAATATGTATGAAGGAACTTAAGTGCTGATGGCACCATTCAACCATCCATGCATGTCTCTTTATTCTGCTGGGCTGTTAAGAGAGTCTTCTGAAAATCATATTGAACTTCCATTTCCTTCTTTCCAGAACTATTGATCAGAAAGACGTTATTTTTATTGAACCAACTTGGCGGTTTAATGATGACACTGCAGAGTTCCGCTGAGCTTTTTGCCAGGAAGTTGGAAAACTATGAAAAAGGTGGCCTGTCAAGAGCCAAGATACACAGTCAGCCAACCCCAACCTGGTGCCCTCCAATTGTTATGGCCTTCCACATCCACCAGGTATAGCCAGTTAGCAATGTGGAAGCAACCCCCACCCATGATATCCTCACAGATTAAAAGGCCACAGATTGTTTAATAAGCCTGGGAGAAGAATTTTTTGCCTGGCGCCTAAAGATATGTAACGAAGGCGCCAGATGAACCTCCCTGGGGAGAGCATTCCACAAGCAGAAAATAACAACAACATGGGAACACAGCCAGAAGTTTTAGAGTAAAAGGGCGAAAGCCATGCAGAGCAAATTTCACTTATCCAGAGGCATCTCTTATCTGGACATGGCTTCTAACCTGAAGTGTTCTCTCTCTCCCCCCCCCTTCGCCACCCCACAGTCTCTTTTTCAAAAGGTCAGGTTCATGCTTCTGATTAAATATTAGCAAGGAAGAAGCAACATCAGCAGAGCTGTGAACTCTGAGAGAAAGAGTGAAAAACGCGACATTAGTGGGCAAGATGAAGCTGTAACAAATAGGCTTACTGCAGGAGGAAAATCCTACAGTGAACATTAAGGCACCATGAAGCAGAACAAACCACTTCAAGTGTGACTCGGAGAGAGAATAGGCTTTGTCCAAAAGGGGCCTCTCCCACACCTTTGCATGCAAGAGAGAGGGAAAGCAGTCAAAGTGAGGAAAATGAGGTTGTGGGGAAGTATCATTTTGTGTGTCCTGTTAGCACCTGACCCCTTTCAGTGAAGTGAACTTTGTTAAATTAGAGTAAGGATGGTCTGCAGGCAAACGGCAACCAAAATGGCCAAGGGGATGAATCACCTCCCCCATGAGGAAAGATTGCAGCATTTGGGGCTTTTTAGTTTAGTGAAAAGGTGAATAAGAGCCAACATGATAGAAGTTTATGAAATTATCCGTGAATAGAGAAATGTTTTTCTCCCTGTCTCATAATGCTATAACTTGGGGACATCCAATGAAGATGAACACTGGAAGATTCAAGACTGATAAAAGAGAGTTCTCTATGCAGTATACATGGTTAATCTATGGAACTCATCTCCACAGGAGGCAGTGATGGCCACTGACCTAGAGGATCAAGCAAATTCATAGCCACAATGGCTACGCTGACTCCACTTCAGAGGCATTATGCTGCTGAGTAACTAACAGTTGCTGGAAACCATAGGCAAAAATAAAAATAAAAAGCCATGGCTTGTTTGCTTGCCTGTGAGATGACACGTTGCTTGTTGAACTAAACCATGGTTAAGGTTATGTGTGTGCACAGTCGAAGCCAAATCAAATGCATCCACCAAGTAGACCCACATTCGATGCTCTGGGTCTTACTTCACCCTCAAGATGCATGCCAGTTTAGCCATGGGGCTTTCTTCCTAAAATATCTGTGGTTAAATAAAGCAGAGTTTATTGAATGCCTCTAAATGTCTTTCTGAAGTGACTTGAGCTTGATAGTGATACTGATACAACTCAATGGGAAATGGAAAATGAAGACTGGGGCGGCTTACCTGCCACAGATGCAGGTGTAGGAAGTGTGTCGCATGCCGCCGCGTTTGTAGCAGTAGTGCTGAAACAGGCTGCAAAACAAAGGAGACAGAAGTTAATCAATTGTTGAGGACCAAACAAAAAAAGCAATGAACAATGCAACATTTAAAGAAGCAGGACTTATTTGTTCTTGGCTCAGACATCAACCCATCATCCCATCTCTATTTTGAGCTTGCTAGGTGCCTGAAGAAAATGGTAGAGAAACAACTAGAAGAAGAATTGCAAAGAAAGTCTATTTAAGCTCCAGCGGGAGCAAATCCACCCCCTAACCTTCAAAGTTTACCTGTCACTGGAGCTAAACAATTAACAATTCAAGAGATGACCAAAAGCCGACCATTCCACCCCCCACCCCCCAGGTTGTTGCTTTGCTTTGGAAAGTAAGAAGCTCCCCCCTTCTCCCTCTTTTTGTTCCCAAACCCTGGAAGTTTCTTTGACCACAGGTGAGAGTGGGAGGAAAGGGGAAGTTGCAGGAGTCCATTGCAGGAAGCAATCTCTCTCTCAAAAGACTTCCTGAAGCAAAGAACGGCCCGTCTCTTCACGTGACGATAAAGGGATCCTGCAGGAGGAGCTCTTCCGCCTTCCCAAGAGCTCCAGCATCCCCTAGGACATGATGGATGCTCTGCCATCAGGCAAGGACAGATGCACCCAAAGTACAATTAATATAGGATTAACTGCTTTAAGAGTCAAGCACATATTAGAGCCCCTTTCAGTCTTGGTGAAATATACTCTAATTACAATCCAATTCCCTTTTAATACTGAAAGGATTGGGGGGAGGGGGGGAAGACCTCATTTGTTGTAATATTAAAATCATTTCATTAACAAGGAGTGATAATGGAACCCATTCAGATTTCAGAGACGTTCGCAAGCCTTTGGCAGCTGCTGCGACAAATGCAAGCTATTAGACGGACATTTAAGATATTGCTTTAGCTACACACCCGGTTAGATATATCTAACCGCTTAATGAGACATTAGGATGGACAGTCCCAACACTATTATGCACATATCAAGGAGATGAATGTGCCACATTTCACAGGTTGCTGAACCTCACAAATGTTTTTTTGGGAAACCTGACAGGCATCCACCCAGGATGTTATAGGCAAAGAATGCTGTGCTTCTAGATGAACTTTCTGTTACGGGATCATAGCCATGAACAGCCGGGTCCAAAAGGAGCACTGCTAAGATATCATTAATCAACAAAACTCTGCAATAGGAATGAAAAGAAAATGGAAATGCCACCAGCATGAAAACAGGATCCGGAAGCTACTAGATACCTTATTAATATTAATAACATCCATAACTAAAAAGTAGTAGTGCTTCCGACATGTCTCCTTAGCAACACAAAGGAAGAAAAGTTCACCCTGGCTATATCTGATCAATAGCCAATGTGTGCTGAGGGTGACACCCCTTAGTACGGGAAGGTTATACTGATTAACTTAAAAGGAGGGTCCGATTTTATACAGGCTCTGCCTACGATTCCTAATCATTTCCTTGGAAGAGGCAGGAGTTAGGAAAATGAAAGCATTTCATAAGTCTACCGGAGATACGTATTCCAAAAATAATAGTAATGATAACAATAAATCAAAGGAAGTTATCATGGTGAGTAGCCTGGCTCGGATAATGCGCTACAAATGGAAACAGCTAGCTAAATTTAGAGCCCAGATCTTAAGAAAACTCTAGAGATCAATTTGGAGCAAGCGTGTCAACAAGTTAAGCTCTTAACAAGCATTTGGGTCGACAGTGCAATGCTTCAAAAGTGCGAGGCGCCACAAAGGATGTTCTGATGTATTTTAGAAGCATGTTAAAATTAAGGGCATCTTACAGCACAAGGAACATTTGGCAACCTTGAACTTAAAAATATTAAAATCGGAAGGATTTTTCCTGGTATTCTCATGGTGAACCAGCTCTGAAGACACAAGCTATGATAGCCATAGTATGATGGGGAGACTTAATGTATTTGCTTCTGAACAGCACACTTACAAGCACCCTCCTTTGTGGCCCAGTGGAAATCCATGGATGGTCAGAATATTTGTTTGATGGTCGTTCTCCCACGTCATGTGAAAATCCTGTCCCTCTTACACCCTCGGAGGTCACCATGGCCTTTATTTGGGTGTTATAGAAGTGTAGGGGTTCCAGTTGTGAGGAGTGGGGCGTGCACATGAGCCTGCTGGCTGCTCACCTCCATCACCTTCACCCTCTGGGAGTTGAAATGCAACTGCCTTGAGCAGAAAAATCTCTTGTACTCCTGCGTTGTCAAACCATGGAAAACTGGGGAGCCGTGAGGGAGCTCGCAAGAGCAGAGGTTGGCTCCTCATGTCACACAGTTACTCTCCAATTTGCAGAGCATGAAGCCAGCACACTTATCCCAGTAAGCACCCCTCAGACATGCAATTTCCACATCTCAGTAGGGCTCACATTACAGCATTTGGTCCTGCACAGCAGCCACTGTTCTGATATACCCAGGGCTGACATGACAGAGCCCAACCTCAACTATAAGCTTGAGCATGAATTCAACCATGGCTAGAATAAGCTGGATGCAGATTTAAGGCAGCTCTAAAAGAGGAAGAGAGGAGGATTTACACGATAGAAAAATATGAGGGGGTGAAATGCAGGACTCAGCCACATGTTCTGAATGGCCCAGTTCATGAGTAACACTAAGCCATGGTTTGTTTTGCCTAAGTGTGGCTTTTCTTAACTTTTGAACCCAGCCAAGCAGACTAACCATGGTTTCTTGTTAGCTTGTAAACCGTGGCTTGCTTTAACTATGGTTTGGCATTATGTCCAAACCCAACAGCCTTGCTTAACCATGGTTTGTTTGACCAGCCCAAGCAATCCCCAAGCCAAGGAGGCCTGAGTGGCTGGGAGACAAACCACAAACTACAAACCACAGCTTGGCCAATGTCCCATCCACAATTTTATGTCTGGACTGGCCTACATGAAAGATGGTCAGTAATTATAGGGAAACTGTAGTTAAAGCAGGGATGGTACATAAACCTTCAAACCCAAGCAGTAGAAACCAATGCAATTTCCCCTTCTTTTCTACAAAACACACAGAAACTGGAGAGACGTTCTCTGAGAGACAAAGCTTAATTGGAAAACGGACAGGTGCCACAGGGGGGTGGGGGAAGAATGGCAGCTCGGAGTTAATAAATTAAAAGGAAAACAAAACACATCCCAGGGACATCTATCAAGGGTGATTTACGGACAACAAAACCAACAGATCGTTTAAGCTTAAGAGAGGGGAGAGGTGGGTGAGGCATAATTGGCATTTTAATTGTTTAAGAAGATTGTAAATCATCTTCCCTAGTCAAACAGCAAGATCCCCCAATACCACAGATAGCATCATTTGATGGATCCTTCCATCAGTTCAGCCCTTGCCAACTTGGTTCCCTCCATATGTTTTGGCTGATGGGGGCTGTAGTCCAAAACAGCTGGAAGTCACTTAAGTTGCCAAAGGCTGCAGTGACATTCTCCCATCCATCCAGGTGGGTATATTCCAAACTAGAGTGTTTAGTAAAGTGGGTGTACTGTCTGCCAATGTGTGGGGTGCTAAAATGAGCCACAGCAGGAGTGTGTCTCCAAATATAATGGTCACCTTGTTGGCTTGCATGAAAAGGTAGGTTTAGGGGGCATCGCTTCCCCGCAAAAAAATCACATATAGGTGAGTAAACAAGTGCATTGTCCACATACTGGCACGGAATATGAGCAGAAGACAGTAGAAAACAGGTTGGCATTTAAGCAGAAGGTAAGCTGGCATCCTTGCTACTTGACGTCATTTATCCGGGTACCAAAAGGAAACTGTGGGTGGAAATTGGTCTTGGACGTACCCTCCAAATGCACAGCTAATAATAAACTGCAAGGAAGAATGCCCTGTCTTGGTTTAAGCAGGGGTTGCTTACAGGTTTCATAATGGTGAGTGTGTCAGACTAAGACCTGGGAGATGAGGGTTCGAATCTCTATTTAGCCATGTAGCTGCTCTCTGGGTGACTTTGGGCCAGTCACTGTCTCTTGGCCTAACCTACCTCACAGGGTTGTTGTGAGGATTAAATGAGGAGGAGAACCATGTTGGCTAACTGTGGCTTAAACGATCACCGGGAGAGTCAGAAATCTACTTTGGAGGAAGAAGACCTATGATCCTTTAAGTTGCGAGGCAGAATCGGCTCTCTGAGGACGTGATTCATCTGAGTCCCTTCCCCTACCCCTGCAAGACATTTTTTCCATAGGTTTCTGCTTGTTATATAGCAATGACACAGAACCACAAATACTAGCACAATGCCACAATTTCACACGCAATTGAAATAATATGAAATAATATGAAATAAGAGTGAGACCACACCAAAAGGTCTTAAGACCCACAGCTCTGCTTCATTACAGTGGTACCTCGCAAGACGAATGCCTCGCAAGACGGAAAACTCGCAAGACGAAAGGGTTTTTGGTTTTTTGAGTTGCTTCGCAAAACGAATTTCCCTATGGGCTTGCTTCGCAAGACGGAAACGCCTTGCAAGTTTGTTTCCTTTTTCTTAAAATCGTTAATACAGCTGCGACTTGACTTCGAGGAGCAACTCATAGCACGCGGTGTGGTAGCCTTTTTTGAGGTTTTTGAAGACTTTGGTGATTTTTGAAGCTTTTCCAAAACTTTTCCGAAACCGTGCTTCGCAAGACGAAAAAATCGCAAGACGAAAAAACTCGCGGAACGAATTAATTTCGTCTTGCGAGGCACCACTGTATTAGTTTTTAAATACTGTAATTTTGGATCTCAATTGGCATATTTTATACTGATTTTTTTGTTTATTCATAACTATTTATTAACGTGTAATTAATGAGGTCTAAATCCTTTGATGACAGAATGATTAAATTGTATGTTAACTAATCCCTCTTTTAATTATGATGCTGCCAGGAACCCATTCGTGGATATATATAAAAAGGAGACATTTATAGGCACCCATTCTTTAAATAAGCAGTATGTTAAGCCAATAATTAGAAGAAATAGTGATTTCAATTATATTTTAATTACTGTTACACATAAAACATGCCT